ATCCTATTGAAGTATCTACAAAACTAGAATAAACTAAAAATATGTACTGAACTTAAACCCACGATATATACGGTGTTTCCTACCACATTATTTTGGGGGAAGAGGGGAGTCTACTTCCACATCAGAAAAGGAAACTCAAGCTCTTTTATTCCATTATAACATGACTGACAATAAAAGTGTAAACACAAGAAAGCTCTACCCAATCAACCCATTAAATAGAAGGTTTCTGGTTCAGGAATATAGCCTTGTGTAGGCAGCAAAATACATATTAACTGGGAAGAGAAGCTATTCATATGCAAAATGGATTAATCTATTTTTGCAAAAACAGAAACTTCCCAATTACATGAACTCAAGGAGAAGCACTAAACTCCACATTCAGGTTCACAATGGTATGTGTTAAAGTCACTATTTAGGATTTAATGGAGAAGGATATACTGGAGTGCCTAAGGCACATTTTTCCTTAATTATTTGCGTCATAGGTAGCTGACTAGTTATTAAATGTGGGTTAATAAAAGCAATAAACAGACAATTTTCTCCTTGATGAACCATTTTTCTTTAAATTGAGTTCTCTTTCCTTCTGTTTCCCTCATGAGTTTCCCTCATATGAAATGTGTTGAATACCTTGCTTATATGTAACAGTATTCTAGTCTAAGGGTATCAAACTCATCTGGCCCCGTGGGCTGGAAGAGTGGCATGGGTCCAGTTCTGTGGGTGGATTGGATCCATAGACCAAACGCATGTTCCAGATCCAGTGCGTGTCCTGAAGTGGCTGGAGGTGGTGGCGCCTGTGGTTCAGTCCTGCTCCAACTGCTCTGGGGTTGTGGTTCATGTGGTGGCCCCTCTGCCACTGTGGAAGGTGAGCTGTAGCAGGTGCCTCCTGCACGGTGGGGCCATCCAGCACTCCCTACATACTGCATGGGAGTCAACTCAGAGACCCATAGGCAATACCAGGGGCCAAATGATAAGGCTCTGCAGGCTGGATCCAGCCCATGGACTGTATCTTTGACACCCCAGCTTTAGCCACAATTAAAATGGAAAAAGTGCCAGGAGGAGGAGGAGTACTTACATGCAGGAAATGAAATAGTTATTTCCTTTGTCATTAAAAAAAAAAAATCACCAAACTTTAATTATTTCCCTCTTCACCCCTCGATTTTAATATCTGTGGAGGCTTTTCACTGTTGACAAATTGGGAAAATATTAAACTGCATTTATTTTTTAAAGAAAAACCAAAGTAGAATGACTGTGGAAATGAAATGTGAGACAAGGATTTTTGTGGGTGATATCTTTTAATGGACCAACTATGTACTTGGGAGGTCTCCCTGAGGTAAGAGATCACCCACAAAAGTCCTTCCTCTTCCATTTTTCTTGTATCTTCATATTTACAACAACAATGCCCAATTCTACACCATGGAGAGAAAAGATAAAGGAAAACAGGAAAGGTTTTCACAGCCAATCCTTAAAACTGTATCATTTTACTTGGCTGAGGAGGGGAAGGGCGATTCAACATGAGCACATTTCTGATTACTACGTACAGTGCTGCCAAAGTCTATGGCCTATTATGCCCTGTGTCCCTCTCTGGTTCTGTTTTTCAGATCTGGGCTGTACTGTTTGCACGGGTGCATATGTACATATGTTACTTACATGACATGGGTGGCATTACATCTCCTCCTCACATTGTTGGGCTAGTTAAGGAAGCGCTGTTTGAATTGGCCTTGTGCTCCAGAAGAGTAAATAATATTATTTTGTTTAACAGTGCAAAAGAGCTTGACTACTTGGCCAGGATTCCTTTCAAAGGAAGAGGACCTAGTATATGGGCTTTGGTGGTATTTGTGACAAGCAAAAAATTGTGCATTTTCAAACTTTTCTCTTCAGTCATGAAAGCTAAACCCTTAAAATGGATGTTGATATGCTCACAGAATCTCATGGCTGCAGGAGCTGGATCTTAAGGAAAAACAAGCACCACAAGACTCATAAAAGCACCCTATCCAAATTTGCTGATGACACTAAGATGTGAGGGGATGTGGACACGCTAGAAGGGAGGAATAGGCTGCAATCGGACCTAGACAGGTTATGGGGTGGGCAGATGAGAACAGGATGGGTTTCAACACTGACAAGTGCAAGGTGCTGCACCTGGGGGGGAAGAACCAGCAGCATACCTACAGGCTGGGGAACTCCCTTCTTGTCAGTGCAGAGGCAGAAAAGGATCTGGAGTCATTATTGATGCCAAAATCAACATGGGCCGGCAGTGTGGGGACGTGGTCAGGAAGGCCAACCATACCTTGTCATGCATCCACACATGCATCTCGAGCAGGTCCAAGGAGGTGATCTTCCCCCTCTATGCGACACTGGTCAGGCCGCAGCTGGAGTACTGCGTCCAGTTCTGGGTGCCGCACTTCAGGAGGGATGTGGACAGCATTGAGAGGGTCCAGAGGAGGGCCACCCGCATGGTCAGGGGGCAGCAGGGCAGGCCCTATGAGGAGAGGCTACGGGACCTGAACCTGTTCAGCCTCCACAAGGGGGGTTGAGGGGGGATCTAGTGGCCTGTTACAAACTAGTCAGAGGGGACCAGCGGGCATTGGGGGAGTCCCTGTTCCCCCGAGCACTACCAGGAGTGACAAGAAATAACGGTCACAATCTGGCAGAGGGTAGATTCAGACTAGACATCAGGAGGCGCTACTTCACTGTCAGGGCGGCTAGGATCTGGAACCAATTTCCAAGGGAAGTGGTGCTGGCTCCTACCCTGGGGGTCTTTAAGAGGGGGCTAGATGAACGCCTTGCTGGGGGTCACTTGACACCAGTACTTTTTCCTGCCATGGCAGGGGTTCGGACTTGATGATCTGCTCAGGTCCCTTCTGACCCTACAACTATGAAACTATGGATCAGTGCAATAACATAAAGTGCATTCCCTTAGAGAGTTGTTCACACCCCCATCTTCTCTGATGGGCCTAGCTCCTTGGAGGACAACATATCCTGTACTGCAATTAAGATTTCCCTTCAACCAAGATTTACAAGATGAACCCTGTGAAATGTATACCTGGAAATGGAAAATTGCAGTTCAGTATTGAAGTGATGTGAAATGTTGCATTTTGGATCACTTCAGTAAACCAACTAAACATTTCAGTTTTGGTAGTGGTAAAGCTTTGTTTTGGTCAGAATGTCATTTCCATTCCCATGCTGTACCATATTTTTTTATTAAGTATAAACTAGTATCAGTACAGGTACTATTAAGCAGCTGTGGACAGTAAAATGGCAGTATAAAACTACATCTGTATAAACAACATCAATGCTATACATTTCCATTATTTCTTTATTCATGTGCAAAATAACCCTTCGAATCATTTATAAAATATTTCAAGTGTGCAGTGAACCTTGTCAATGTCACCATGTTTGAGTTCCGCATGTACTTAAAAAAAGTCATGAAATATTTCTGCTGCAAAGTGATTTTTTTGTTTTGTTAGGTTTGGGTTTTTTTGTGGCTTTGCATAACTGAAAGTGGAATTTTCTCATAAACAATTCACTTTGGGCTGCTACTGAGCAGATAAATTTTCAATTGTAATTAATTTTTCAGAAAGCTCTGACACTCTGAAGTTCAGTGAATGCCTAACTGCAGTTTTGCAACCACGATTATGTTAAAGCTACAATTTATGTTATAGTTTCTGCTATATCTGGATAATAGAATGGTGTTTAGGAGAGTGGAATTCTCTGTATTGCTTTTTATCTCTTTTGGCAATATGCAGTGAAAGTCCAGGGAAGCATTTGATTCCTTTCCCAGCATTGCTGTTGACAACAATATTAATAAAATCCTCAAAACACCTTATTTACGTATGTTAATAGATTAGGCTTTAACCTCCATGGGCTTGCCACAGGCAGCTAACTACATTCCAGATTTCAATTACTGGTGTAACACATTTCTGATGGATTACTGTTGCCTAAAGGTGCTTGCACTCTGCCAAACAGGAGAAAATGTATCATTTACATTTTGTTTCATGTGTATTCATATTTGTTGCCTCCCTAAAATGTAATAATATGTAGTTTTCTTTGTTAAAGGAAAGGTAACCTTTCCCCTGCTTGTGCAAATTGAGAATCCTAATCCTGTTGACATGATGAAATTATTTTGGGGATTATGGGTGGGGAAAGGTTTGCATTTACAGTGATGTTTAAACTTGTTTTAATACTGTCCTTGAAATTAAGTCATGCAAAGTCAATCCTGTGAAAGTCCACAGAAAAAGCAGCAGCGTTGCTATATGCTGGAGTAACTGAAAAATAATAATGAAAGGAAAGGAAAATCAGAAAATAAGTGCTGCCTGTTACACGTTAAGATAATGGTCTCTTCCACTGTGGTGGCCTGAAACATCTATATACCAAAAAAAGGATAGGATTGCAGTTTCAAATGACATGGTCGTTGTTAGGACCATGAATTTAGAAGTTAACTGTATTGACTTTCAATGAGGGCTGAAAGTCAACAGAAATGCCATAGCTATTGATTAGTGAGCATCAATTTAGGTCAGTAAGTAAAACACCACACAACATAGACTGCATGGGGAATTTAGGTAGATAGAATCATTGTGGCTAGGATAATAGGGAGGTCTTTTTTTCCTATGCAAAATGTGGAGCAGCAAGGAAATTGCAGCCAACTGTATCACGTGTGGAGTTGAACATTCGAATGCCTCTTTTGGCAGATAATGATCTAGTTGTACAATGGAGTGGTCCAGTGAAACATCCTGTTACCCTACTGCGCTAAGAGGGAAGAGGAATATGAAGAGTTGAATATGTTGAATTGAAAATAATTATAAAGGGATTGAGGCTGTTAATGTGTGACCTCCTAGTTAAATATAATATTTTATGAGTTTCTTATGTACTCTTATAAATTGGAAAGGAAAATGAATATATTTTAATTTATTGACTGTATCTTACTCTCCACATTTGAATTACAACATTAGTTTTTTTTATAACCTCTGTTTTATTTAACAAGGTTTTTCTTTTATTCATTTATTTTACAGGATGTGATTGGCGGAACTCTGATATCAGCAGTGTTACTTGCACTCTCATATCCTGCGTGGGACCTCATAGACCACTTTCTATTAACTAGTCCATTTTGCCCTATATTTTCCATAGCTGTGCCCCTCCTTTTATGTTACAACTATCCAAAATTAGACTATTACAGCCCTACCAGAGGAGACACAACCACTATCTTAGGAGCTGGAGCTGGAGCTATCATAGGATTCTGGTTAACTAACCAGTATGCACCATTGAACTCTTCCAGCGAAACTTTTCAACTCAGCTTTCCTCCAATCTCCAGTAAAAGGCTGATGGTCATGCTGGCAAGGTTCTTAGTTGGGGTCTTTGTTCTTTTGATCACACGTCAATTCATCAGGAGGCTGGCCCTCAGTATGCTATACTACTGGTACAAAGTTTCCACCAGTGATGAAGAAGCCAGAAAACGACTGGAAATTGAAGTACCCTACAAATTTATAACTTATTCTTCGGTTGGTTTCTGTGCTACCATGATTGTGCCAGTACTGCATGGGCTTTTAGAACTAATTTAAGTGATGTGCATTTTTTGAAATAATATATGGCAACATCCACTTTAGACATGCAAAAAAACTGCAGGCTGAACACTTGACCAAGCAGTTTTTTGTGCCTTTCTCCACTGGCCTAAAATGCCTATTCCAGAAGATCCTAGGAAATCACCATATGTAAATAACTTAGGGTTGGAAATTCCTAGCTCTTGGGTGCTCCAGGCAAACACCTGTGATTCAGAAAATGTATGAAAATAAGTACAGAGTACAACAATAAGAACTGATGTTTATATGACTGCTGTTTACCTTCAGAAAAATTCAGTGTTTAACCAGTGGTCACTTGTACTAGAATGCCTGTCCATGTGGCCAGATTAAATCTGTCCTTTACTTCCCCAGGGCCAACATTTTGGAATGGTCATGAAGGTGATACTCACACACCTGGAAGTTTGGGATCTTTTAAATTTCTTGTACTTCCAAACCAGGGATTCAGCCTGTGTGGTCTCTGTCAGAGGCAGTTGTGAGGTCTTGAGGGTCACCCAGGAGAATGAATAGAAACAGCTCTGCACGAGCTCGGAATTCAGATTGGTGGAAGTAGTGATACACTTTGCTGGTTGTCTTTTTAAAGTTGTGTGTGTGTGTGGTGTGTTGTTAGGTGGAAAGTAGGGCGATTCAGTCAGGGATGATCCTGCCTTGAACAGGGCGTTGAACTAAATGACCTCATGGGGTGTGTCCAGATGTGCATGGATGTTTGGTTCCCTGGGGACAACTAGCAGTGGCACACCTTGCTCTGCAGCTACTTGTCCTCGGGGAACACCCGTTCCATGAGTGCTTTGTTGTGTCGCAGGTTACCCCGGGGTCAGTAGGGGAGGCTGGGGCTGGCCCCAGAAGCCTTAGCTGGGGTTCTGGGGCTGCAGCCACAGCAATCCTGCTGGGTGGAGCCTGCTTGGCAGCTGCTGTGTCGCTCAGGGCAGCCCAGCTCTGTTTTTCAGCAGCATGCGCTGCCTGAGCATGCACTGTTTTGTTTTTTCCACAGTGTTTTTTGACCCCTGGATATCCAAGGGTCAAAAGACCTGCAGCGGGGGGGAAAAAGGAGCCGTGCATGCTTGGGCAGTGTGGAAAACACAGGACTGTGCAATATGTGGAGCTGCAAATGTGTTTGCGGCACCACATACCACACAGCTGCACTTGTCTGGACGCACCCATGATGTCTTTTCCAGCCCTACTTTCCTGTGACGTTTAAGATGGCCTCAGCTGTGGAGAACAGGCTGCCAGCCTTGCTTTAATGATTTACTCAAAAAGCTCAGTATTAAGATCTCCCCAGAGACTGGGGAGAAAGACCAAGAGAGACCTTAGGTAGTTAAGAATGACCAGAAAAGCACAAACCTGGCCAAGTATGGAGGCAGCCTTAACCAAAACCCGCCCCCAAACCCAACACTTTTCAAAGCTGTAGGGCCTGATCAAGGGGTACTTAAGAACTGTCACTGATTTCAGCAAGGGTGTTCTGCTGACTAAGATGGCAGACTCTCAGGAGAGATGCTCCTGGATATTAATATGCACCAAAACCTTGAGCTCGTGTGAGGGCACGTATGCATGTGCCTTATCCTTAGACTGGTCTTTATTATTAGAAGTTGAATCTGATGAAGGTTTTTATACTTGCTACTTGATGTACTGCCTTCTGAGTGCACAGGCAGACTTCACTTGTAATTCTCTACATGTAGGACTTGCTTTTCCTGTTGGAATTCTTCAGAAAATTACCTTTATTCCTTTAAGTTTTACGCCAGATATGTCACGCCTATTTCTGCAAATTTAATGGGAGAGTGTACTAATAGTAGTGGGATCATGGGGTTGGTTCTCCTGAATTATAATCCCAGCTCTGACATGGATTTCCTGTCTGGCCTTGGGCAAGTCATTTACTCCCTGTAAAAGTAGGACAATGGTTTTCACCTAGCTACCCTATGGAGCTGCTGTCATAATTAATTAGTGGTCTTAAATAACATTTTAAAGACTGTTTGGGATTGGTGTTCAAGTGACTAAGAAATATATTGATATGCCATAATTTTCTGGTGATTTGTTTTCTATGCATCTTGCAATAATTCATGTAATCCCAGAGAATAGATCAGAACTGTATTAATAGATAAGAATTGCTGCTATGACTCTGATTTTCAGGTAACTAAAAAATTATTAGCAATTGGGCCAATGAGTTGCTAGCAAGTGCAGCTATGAGTATGGCTCCATAAATTTAAAAAAAAAATCAATGAGCAATGCTTAATTTTTCCCCTATGGTAATTATGCCAGCCTATACATTGTACTGTTGCAATGATAGCTAAAGGCGTAGTCAAAAAGCCTTTTCCTAGGGAGCTTACACTAAAAGGATTCATCACCGTTTCCTGTTGTCCAGTGCTTTTTAACATTTAGGTGTGTTGGAGCTCTTTTGTTATGAAAATGCTAATTTATTCTTCTGTAAAAAGAATGTATTTGACCAGAGTTAAGTATGAAAATATAAGTGAGCAGCATTGCCACTTGGTTGATGATTTTTATAATTGTGTTCACATAGTTTGGTTGTAGGCTTTGCCCAGATATCCAGCAGAAGAGTCTTGCTTTAAAAATGGTTAATGACTATATATGAGGAGGCAAGCTGGAGTTTTAAACGGTACACAGTTTTTTTTGGAATAGTAAAGGCTGTGGTTCAGCTTAATGTTAATTAAGGTGCATGTATATCGCATTTACATGTCTTAACTGCATTCTAAATTATGGGATGCATGCACACTTTAAACATACTGTAATAGCACAAGAAGTGCTGTGGTAAATACCTTCTTAAAACCCTTTCCAGTAGGGGTGCTTTCTGATATACGGCTCTACAAAAGCAGAAGCTCTGAAGCCCTGTGGAGGCGTCAGTTCATATTGTAGCAGAGGGGCTAAAACTGGGAAAGGTAATACTAAGAGGAGGATTTCTTAGCCACTGAATCAGCTCTACTCAAAACATGGCTTGAAATTTGGCTGGGACTTGCATGCAGTTTTACTAATTAAATTGTTCTACTGATTCACAGTCATTTTGTATTCATTTCCCCCTCAGGCTGTCAACAGGTTTTACACCCCCCCCCACCCCCCCCACCTTATGTGCCTGGATTTATAAAATACATTCATAAAATTTCTGTCTGTCTTAGTACTCAACTTTGGGACATGCAATACATGCAAACTATTTGGTTCAACCTAGAAAATAAATACATTTCCAAAAGCCTGGTATATTAGTTTGTCCACCTTGTAGTCTGCCTGGAGTCTTTTACTATTCTTTGTAATTGATTGGTACATCAAGGGTGTGCCTTGCATTTTGAATTGTGGTGTATGTACTGCCTCTTCATTAAATCTAGAATATCCCAGTTTAGCCCTATGATAGTCACAGAAAATGTAGCATATCATAATAACATAACTTTACTGAGATTTGGTATGCATGCTTGTGATTTTTCTTAAATCACACTAGCTAATACTATTTTTAAATACCGCTTAGAGCCTAGCCTAATGCTTGTGGAGTTTAACATTTCTAAAATCAGGTCATTGCCAAAGTAGATGAACATTAATTTGTAAATGAGCTTCATTTCAATTCTGGTTTATGGATAAGAAGAGTGGCAATAATTACAAGCATTTCTTAGGATCAGAATTTGTACTATGCATATTGCCCAGAGAAGACTACCAAATAACCTCAAGCAAATGTCTTCTTCCTCAATCTAGGTGCAATTTCCTCATGAACAGTTGCTGGGGGCAGTCATTCAAAAGTATTCTGCTTCCATTGATTTTCCTGTGTCTCCGTGAGGCTTGTTGCAGTGATTGGTCCAAGTATCAAGCCATCTTCTTCTGTAAATGATTTCAAGTCAATTCTAATCCCATTTGATATTCCTGTGTGCTTATACGGCATTGAGTCAAAACAGCAAAGCTGTTTTTTCATGTTGGCTATTTTATTTAAAATATTAATTTTGGAAGGAAATGTGTGATTTCTCCCACATGCTTACCGTAATCAGCATTTCACATGGTTAGGTAGGAGTGTGTTTGACCTATCAGGAAGGAAGTATCTTTAGAGCCTCTCTGTCTAGTCAGCATACTGCTGTTTCTCTTTCCTTGGACAGCTGGTGATTGCAGGTGATACCCTAGACTGACGTCTGCTCTCACTGATTCAGATCCATGTGGGAGTCAGTCAGCAACGGAATAGTATCAAATGGGTGTTGTTTGACATACCTAAACTAGTTAAGATGCAGATCTCTGTCTGCAGCTGGTGCTATTTGCCTTAATTATTTTAAAGGCAGGGTAGATTTGCACCTTATAGACTAACTAAAGTAGATGTATATACAGCACAAGCTTTTATGGGCTGAAGCTCACTTCATCAGATGCTGTGCTTCATTACCTTGTTGCTAATCTCTCTCCAAAGTTGGTACCAACTCTGCCCTAGCTTCCTCTGAGTGTATAAATACTCTTTCCTTCTTCCTACTATACGCATTCTTCTGAGCAAGTAACATATTGTTAAATGACAAGGATCATTAATGGTAAATGGGAATTGCAGCTGAGCAACCTTATTCTGGGAGAGCTGATATAATAGTACAATTATACTTCAAACCTGTGTGTGAAAGTATTTGTCTATCAGCTGCTGCATTCTTTCTCAAAGACAGTGTGCATAAAGCTAATTTATCTGATTATGTCTAGCTCAACTATGTTGGTTAATCTGATGCACTGAAACACTGTCATGGTCTTACCAGTCTCTTTTCAAAGCATTATCCGCTCCTAATGTCCTGTGTAAATGATACAGCTGAGGGCATCAGTCAAACTTCCATAGGTTTTAATGGCAATGGGACACTTCGAGAGGGTCACAGAGCTTATTCTTCCTCTCAGCAGTCAAGATCAACTCAGGGTCTACAGCATCCCTATGGTAAGTGGAGTTTTGTAAGTTATGTAAATGGATTTTGTGCCTTGGAAAATGCCTTTTCAACTAACTTGACAGATTTTTGTTCTCTTCTATATGTATTGTATTCTGTAATATAAATGGTATTTCTAGGGGCACTTTTGATCATAAAAATGATGATATACCTATATGCTCTATACTGGCAGTAGCTGGGATAGAAGTTACTGAACAAATGAACATACTATATCACAGCATAGTGATTATTACCTAGAAAGAGAAGTAGGAAGAAACTTCTTTACATAATATAGTATGCAACTTGTTCCAGCAGAATGTTACATGTGTCTAAATAGTTGTCTGCTCTCCTTTTTTTCACTTTTCTATGATAACTCACAAAAACCCAAGCCTCCTGCTCTCTCCCCAATCTTGACATGGAATCAGTAAGTTTCACATTTGCTTTTTTTCCTTTTTTAGTAAAGTGACTGTGGTCCCCTACTGCTTTGTGGGACAGAGTAAGGAGAAAGAGAAGTAAATCTCCTGGCTGCATGCTGGTATGGACCCTTCTGTTTAAACAAAGTCAAAGTGAAGAAATGCAACATATGTATAAACACTAGGTAAAATTTCAGAAACCAGTCAGAAGGAAGGAGAATAACCAGATACTGGGAGCTGTTGTAGTTGCATCAGTTTGCCTGAAACAAAAATCCAGGCTAATTCTCCTGAGCTATCCATTGCTACAGTCAAAAATGCAGCACTTGCTGTGCATGGTGTGTGAAGCATGTACAGTGAGTAAATATGCAGAAATGACCCAAGAAAATCAAATCGCTGACCATCATGGGGAAAAAAAACAAACAAAGTAAAGCTGTGCTGGTTGCTTGTTGATCCAAATTCAGCATCATGCAAGGTCACAGAACTCTTCCCCTGCTCATCCTGTTTGTGTTCTCTCCCCAAGATCAACTCTCTTGGGATAAAAGCTATATCATGGCACTGGGAGGTCGGAGGTTGCCACACTTAATGCTGTAATGTGCACTGAAGTACTTTGGCTGTGTCAGTTTGAACTTTGAATTTTCTGTTGTGCCTCTTCAGTACTGTAAAACTAAACGTGTTTCCCACCCACAAGCAGAAATTGCCAGGGAAAAACATTAATGTGGACATTGTTATGCATCAAAACCACTAACCAGTACCTGTAATTTTAAGTCAACTTCTAGTACCACCTTGTTTTATGTAGCACCTGTCACCAGGAGAGCTCAGGGGGTAAGTGCCTCAGAGCCAAAATGTGGGTTTTTTATCTTGTTTTACGTACCATTGAACCAAGCCATTTCACACCAGTCATCATCGTCAAGTAGGTAAATAGGAGTAAGACTGACACTGACTCTCTTGGCAAGCAATTCTCCAGGTTTATCCCAATTCTGCTGTGCTCCAGAAGCTAGGTAAACATAACTTGAAACTCCAATTGACTTGGACTGCAGCTTTAGGGAACCAGCAACTCTGAAAAGCCGCCCCTTAAATTTCTAGTGCCTCGATTCCACCCTATGCAAAGAGGGAATATTTCCCTGTCACAGGCAATTACTGAATAATACCACCGCTTGGGAGGCACTTGAATACTGCAGTGACACACAGCCTGAGAGAGAGAAATAATTGGCCCCTTGTGCTTGCACCTGCATTTGGCCAAAATGGAAAGCTTTAGTAGCAGCCTAACCAGGCCTTTGCCCTTAGTGAATGCTAAGCTCAAAGAATAATTGGGAGACCCAGAATCTGAAAACCGTATGCATATAATTATATTTAGTGCATATAAGTATGCCTGTACTATGCTGAAATGCAAGTCTCCCTTATTGTTGTTCTAATCCCCATGTATAACACACTAATAAACAGAGTTTTTTAATACTTACCATCTGTGTAAAAGATTGCTTCCCACACTACAGGCTTGCTTGGTTACAGTTGTATAGGCACTGGAGAGAGAATATACCAGGCAACTGTCAAGGCGTGATAATCCCTTGAGGCCCATAAATTGCAAGCTGCAGTCTTCTCACTTTGTATGTGCTTTGTATGTAATATTGACCTTTGCATTTCATATTTGTCATACAGTGATGATTAAAATCCCAGCTTCCATCTGATCGTAACCATAGGGTTTGCAGCTAGGTAGCTGTAATGTGTAATAAATTAACACTTGGCACTGCTGCCCTCCCACCTGTTTAAAAGCAATGAAAGATCTACTATTTAGAAGACATAATAGTTCTACAGAAGGGGGTCTTGAAGGTGCACACAGAATTATGACTTGTCCTTATTGCCACTTCATCTGTCTCCTTCTCTCATAATTCAGCTCACAATGCTGCTCTCCATTATAACTTGACTGTTCAACCTTAGACTTTCTTCAGGCTATTACTACATCTGGAAGGTGCCCTCCAAAAATAAGTGTGCACTTTGGCACCATCTATAAAATATAACGGTATTTCTAAGCAACATTAGAAATGTACCTTGATTTTTTTTTATTTATTTTTTTTTTTAATTAAAAAAAAAAAAAAAAAAAAAAAAAGGTCTCTTTCTGCAAGCTTTTGGGCACATGCGCCCTTCCTCAGGCTCGGGGGGAAAAAAGCTTGCAGAAAAAGAATTTTTTTTTTGTTATTTCTTAATTGGTCTAATAAGGTATGATCAACCAAGAGTTCTAGAGTTTGCATTCTTCTTTTTGTCTCGGACCAACATGGCTACCAAATACATCCTTGATTTTAGCAAGGCTTTTGATACATTCTCCCAGACAACCTAAGGAAGTATGGGATGGATGAATGGACGGAACAGAAAACTAGCTGGAGCATTGGGCATACAGTAGTAATCAATGGCTCCATGTCTAGTTGGCAGCCAATATCAACTGGAGTGCCCCAGGAATTGGTCCCAGGGCTGGTTTTTGTTCAATATCTTCATCAACTTGGAAGATGGCATAGAGTGCACCCTCAGCAACTTTGCAGATGACACCAAGTTGTGGGGAGTAGTATACTGGAGGATAGGGCTTGGATTCAGAGGGACCTAGACAAATTGGAGGTTTGGGCTATAAGGAATCTCATGAGGGTCAACAAGGACAAGTGTGAAGTCCTGCACTTAAGACAGAACAATCCCCTGCACCAGTACAGGCTGGGGACTGACTGGCTAGGCAGCAGCTCTGCAGAAAAGGACCTGGGGGTTACAGTGAACAATAAGCTGAATATGAGCCAACAGTGTGCCCTTGTTGCCAAGAAGACTAACAGCATACTGGGCTGTATTGGTAGGCGTGTTGCCAGGAGGCCAAGGAAAGTGATTAGTCCCCTCTATTCAGCACCAGTGCAACCACATCTGGAGCACTGTGTTCAGTTTTGGGCCCCCCACTACAGAAAGGACAAACAAATTGGAAAGTCCACCAGAGGGCAACAAAAATGGTTCAGGGGCTGGGGGACATGACTTATGAGGAAAGACTGAGGAAACTGGGCTTATTTAGTTTAGAGAAAAGGAGACTGAGAAGGGATTTAATAGCAGCCTTCAACTACGTGAAGTGGGGTTCAAAAGAGGATAGAGCTAAACTGTTCTCAGTGGTGGCAGATGACAAAACCAAGGAGCATCAGTCTCAAGTTGCAGCAAGGGAAGTTTAGGAAGATATTAGGAAGAATTTTCTCATTAGGAGGGTAGTAAAACACTGGAACAGGTTACCCAGAAAGTTGGTAGATGCTCCATCCTTGGAAGTTTTCAAAACCCAGCTAGAAACAGCTTTGGCTGGGATGATCTAATTGGGGCTGGTCCTGCTTTGAGCAGGGGGTTGGACTAGATTACCTCCTGAGGTCCCTTCCAACTCTAATTTTCTATGATTCTAAACAGCAATAATATTCAGTATTAGCAGTTATCAATACAGTCTACTATCTTGAAATACCTGTAGGGAGCTTGCTAGAAGCACACCAAGATGGTGACATGCTCTGTTATGTTACATGGAACAGAATGGGTGTGTGGAGAAGTGCTGCCATGAGTTCTCCATTTCCAAGCTAGAGGAGGTCCTGAGTTTGTATAGTGTGGTCAGAACCTAAGCTGGAGGTTCCAGCATGTGAGGTTCCAAACCTCTCCAAGCTGCGATCTCCACTTGGAAGCCTTGGAGCTGTACCGCAGAGGCAATCGTTATGGCATTCACAGGAAGAGAACCACACCATGCACAGCAACTGTGTCCGTGCCTGCTTGCTTGCAAATGCCGTGCACTGCTACAGAAGTTGAGAAATCCAAGTACAATCTAGACTGTGTAGAGTCCTGCAGACAAGTTAAGCCTCTGATCAGTATATTGGATTCTTTAAACAAAAGGTCACTTTGGTGTATTTAAATGCATTTCTCCAATTTGCTTCAGAGTAACTAGGCTTCTATCTACCATGAAATATTTTCATATTTTACTGTGACTTTTGAATGCTAAAGGATCAAAGGTTATGCTTGTTAGAGGGTGGCAGATATTGTATAAATCTTACTTACAAAATAGCTCTGGTTTTCATGAAATGAGTTTATTTCCCTCCCCCAACCACTGATGAGCACATGACAACCATACAGAATAAAAGCTCAGCTCCTTAGTTCTGCTCACATTCATTCAATATTTGCACTAATCAATTATCTTATTTCATGGAATAAGAAAAGAATGAGATTCCTGTTCTGCAGCCATAATCAGTTACAGGACGAAGTTCTGCCTGTGGAACATTTCTGATTCTGGAAACTAATGGTGTACCTTGCCATTACATTTCTCTTGTAAAACACTGGGCTCTTACCCAACTTTCTCTCTCTCAAAAAAACACACTGATGGCAAAGTGTAGTCCTATAGCTTACATTCTTGCATTGCAGAAGGCATAGCCTAATTGTAAGGTGAAGACCATATTTACCCATGGAGCCAGACGGTGTTTTTCTAGTTTCATTAAAATGTTAAAGCGCAAGTGGATGTTCCCTGCAGAGACGGACTAAAGGGCAGCACTGTCTGTAAAAGTGAGTATCTGGAGGAGGGATTACAGTCCTGTCCTCATAAGAAGGGCTCAATATTGATCTCCAGGGCAGAGCATGGCATGGTGAGCTCAAATTTGGTGATAACATCAGGGTGTAGGACTCCGAGCCTTCCAATACTTTGACCTTTGGCAAAGATCTCAGCACAGCGGCCAGGGAAGAAAGCAAAGCCTGTAAAGAAAGTGAGAGAAAAATCAATATTTCTCCAGGCCAAAAAAGTCAATAGGCATTTAACAATGGGAACAAAGCTCTTATTATTAAACAATTTTCTCTAAGAATGGGCTCTTGCTTTCTAGCATTAATAGTTGTGCCATGATTGACAGAGAACAAAGAAACCTTACGAGTTAAAAATAAAATACGGAGGCCCTAAAGTGTGAACACTTTTCCTACTCAGTTGTTTTCACCAATGTTTTTTTTTTCCTGTAATAAAAATCAGTGTAGATAAAGGAAAGTCAGAAACACTAAAATTAAGAGAACCTTCAGCCAGCTTCAGGTATGATTTGAAACCTGTGTGAATTTTCCTAAACATAAGGTGGGAACATAAAGCTTGCTGTCATCTAAAGGGTGAGCAGGAA